ACTGGGATTTGAACATAAGGGTACTAGTTCCAGAACCAGAACTCTTAGCCACAATTTTATTGTACCCCTGTATTGACAGCTGATCTTCTCATTCATTTCTTGGTCAATCCACTCTTCCACTTAGTATACGGGTACAGCCCATGTGCCACGCAGTGTTCTAGGTGTGAGTTGCACCATGATCAAATATGAATGTATGAAAGATATGTGTTCAAGGATGAATGTTTATTTCAGTATTCTTTATCTAAGAAAATGTTATAAATCATCTAATTATCCATCAAGGTGAGGATTGATGATTTCAGGTATGATGTATGTATACAACAAAACATTATAAAACAAGGTGTTGACTTTGTTGACTTGGGAGGCTGTCCATAGTAACAAATTTAAGATTAAACAACAAAACAACAAGCTGACTGAATATTACATAAAATAAGATCTTATTTTTGAGGGAGAAAAATTAGAAATATCTGGAAGGATATAATGAAAACATTGATAGTGATTATGTCTGAGTGATGGGATTAGCCATGATTTTTGCCTTCTTTATAACTTTCTGTATTACCTGAGTTTTTTTAATAATATATATATATTTTAATTTTATTTATTTTTTTTATTTTGGCATATTATGGGGGTACAGATTTTAAGGTTTCAATAAATGCCCATTTCCCCCCCTTCCCCCACAAGTCTGAGTCTCCAGCATGACCATCCCCCAGATGGTGCACATCTCACTCATTATGTATGTATATACCCACCCCCCTCCCCCCTCACCTGCCCAATACCCTATTACTGTAGTATCTATGTGTCCACTTAGGTGCTGCTCAGTTAATACCAGTTTGCTGGAGAATATATCTGGTGCTTGTTTTTCCATTCTTGGGAAACTTCACTTAGTAGTATGGGTTCCAGCTCTAACCAGGAAAATATAAGATGTGCTATATCACCATTGTTTCTTAGAGCTGAATAGTACTCCATGGTATACATATACCACATTTTATTAATCCATTCTTGGATTGATGGGCACTTGGGCTGTTTCTACAGCCTTTTGAATTGTGCTGCTATAAACATTCGAGTGGATATATATTCATTTTATTTATTTATTGAAAAAATCTTTTTAGTGTTCTTACTATGTGCAATATTATGTCTTAAGCACAGCAGATACAATGATAAATAAGTAAACATGGTTCCTGCCCTCACAGAGTTTATAGATTAGCAAATTACAGCAGCATATGATCATTATTCCTGTACAAGTACAGGGAACTACAGACTATATAGCTGGGGCTCCTGATTCAGCCTACAGGGGTGAGAGGATTCAGGGAAAGTTTCCCAGAGGAAACTACATCTAACCAGGGACTTGAAGGAGTAATAAGGATTAGCCACTAATATGGGGTAGGAGTGGGAGAATGAAGAATGTTCCATGCAAAGGAAACAGCATTGCTCAAGACGCAAATGAGGGAAAGAAATGTAGCAAGTCAATATTCCTAGAGCATGGTGTGCAAGGAACATGGAGAAGGGTTGAAGCTGGAGAAAAAGGAGACAGAAGCCAGCACACGGGGTCTTGAAAGTTACATAAAGTCTTTTAAATGCTATCTGAGATCAATGGGAACCGCTGAAAGCTTTTAGACAGAGAGGCGACATGATCAGATTTTCCTTTTAGAAAGATCCCTTGGCTTCTGTGTGGACTCTGGATAGGAGGATTAAAGTCTAAAGGCAGAGAGAACAGTGAGGAGGCAGATGAAGGAGAGAGATATTTCAGAGGCAGAATGGACAGGGCTAAGTTAATGATTGGATGTAGAACCAGAGAGGGAGAAGCCCAAGGATCAGTGATCACCAGCTCATCTCTCCATTCCCATACCAGGGTAATTGTCACCCTGCTGTAAACTCCCAGACTGCCTTGCATTCTCCCTTTAATAGTATGTATTATTTGTTCATTCTGCCTTTTCTGTTTGAATCTGAGCTCCACACTAGCAGTTTTTGTCTTTTCACTACTAGAGACAGTCATTAGCCATAGTGTCTGGTACATGATAGGCATTTGTCTTTTTTGTTTCGTTTTGGATGAGTGAATGATATCAAACTTTCTTGCTTGGGCAGCTACCACATTATGCCATCCACTGAGAAAGAGAGCAACTGGAGTAAGCACCTGTAGTATTTTATCAACATTAAAACAACAGCAACACAAACCAAAAAACAGTAAAGTGATTTCCATTTTTGAAAGCAAAGTAAAGAAGATCCTTCCTTCCTGCTCTTAAAGAACTCCAAATCTAATTGGGGAGACAGTCAAACAGATAATCCCCTATGTTGTGAAATGGACCACAATAGGAGCAGGTCCACAGTGCTGTGGAAGCACTCAGGAGGGGCCCTTGCCCAGGCATTAGGGTTAGGTAGGCTTCCTTTAGTAGTAGGTAATAGCTCAGTTAAATCCTTAGGGTGAGTTGGGGTGGGCTGGGTGGGGAGTGAAGAGGAGTGACATCGCAGGCTAACACTGCTACCCGTGCAAAGCCTTGGTGGCAGCAGAGAGCCTACTAAATTCAGAAATAGCAAGTTTTTTGTTGTATCTGGAATACTAGAGAAATAGACTTTTTGTCAGTTGGGGTGCATGTTGGCTGTGTGTCTCCCAGTCACCCTCTACTTCTGGTAACGCATTGTTGTTGCAGTCATGGTCATTCATGGTATCACTGTGGACTCCGCTCCTGTGCTTAGAGCAGGTCCTAGTCATACCTTCAAAACTGCATTTGTTCCTAGAGAGGAATGGAGAAAGGATCATTGGAAATCTAGAGAAAAAGGTGAGGCCATATATTGCTGTTTCTCCCCTGAATTCTAGAAGCTCAGCAAATGATCTTTCTGAATTGATCCAGTTGCAGACAAACACCAAGTCCTTCTGGTGTCGATTGGGCCAAACTGATGGAGAATCTAGTTTGGAACTTGGGAGTCCTTGGGAGCTCCCAGCATTGCTGCAGCTCAACTGTCATTCCTGCCACACAGCTTGTTTAACTGTCTCTGGCAGCACTATTTCTGGCTAGGCCATCTATTTTTGATGACCAGAGAAGTTGTTGTTTTGTTTTTGTATAGTTCAGGGTGCTGTAGTGTGATGATGATGACGATGCCTTGTTATTCTAGGATCAGGGGTGGTGTCGGTGTGTATCTATGGTGGGGAAGGCAGCAGGAACATCATCTGAACCTCTCTCCTTTATCCGCATGGTGAAACTGCCTAGGAAGGGGTTTGTCAGCCAGATGTAATAGCTCTGTTGTTCTCTCTCTTGTCATCAGGCTAAGAGAAGGCTGCATAGAAGATGCATTATCGGTGTGCTTCTGAGTTTTGGGGGAGGAAATGGAATGGTATGTTAGCATTTAAAAGATTCTGCAACTTCAGGAATTATGTTGAAACTTCAGGAACAGAGTCTCAGAAGGGAGATTTTGTTTATTTGTTTATTGTGCAACCCAAGAGAAAAAAGCCAGGTCTTTGTAGATTTCACAGTCTGCTTTCTGAGGCAGGTGTCAGTAGCTGGCTCTGGGACACCGGGTAGAAACCTTGTGCTAGAGTAAAAGCGTTGATGATGGAGACCAAGTGGACTGACTTTGATTAACATTTTCCTTGCTGAAGTGTGGTGTGTGAAAGTTATATATATATTCTTCAGAGCAGCCCAATGAGTATGTTTTCCTCATGTCAAAATGTAGATCATATGTTTCTATCTGTTTTATCTGATTATAATAAAATTTTACCTTTTTATAAGGCATAATCACCTATGAGTATTCAGTATTGAGGGCCACTTGGAGGATACTCCATCTGACCTTTCTGTCAGGGCCCCATAATCTAGGGAGGATTAAATATCCAGAACATTTAGACATGGTCAGTTCTAAGCCATTTGCCTTTAACTGAATTGAACTGAACTGAATCTTTATCATAAAAAAATACTTTGTAAAAGGCAAAGGATTTGGGAAGTTACTTCTGCCAGCTTTGGTTTCTTCTTTTTAAAATAACAGCTTTATTCAAATATAATTTACATAGCATACAAATTCACTCTCTTAAGAGAGTGAGTTGTTCAATTCCATGGTTTTAGTATATTCTTAGAGTTGTGTGACCATCACTACTATGTAATTCCAGAACATTTTCTTCACCCTAGAAAGAAACCTCATACCCATTAGCAGTTACTCCTCATTCCTCCTGTCCCTAACCTTTGGAAACCACTAATCTACTTTCTCTTCCTATGGATTCACCTATTCTGAATATTTCATATAGATGGAGTTATATAGTATGTAACCTTTTGTTCCTGGCTTCTTGCACGTTAGTATAATGTTTTCAAAGTTCTGCATTGTAGCAGTACTTCATTTCTTTCTATGATTAATATTCCACATGGATATACTAAATTTTATTCATTCATCAGTTTGAGGCCATTGGGGTGTTTCCACTTTTTGGATATTATGAATAATGCTGCTATGAGCTTTTGTGTACAAGATTTTGGGGGCCATATACTTTACACTCTCTTGGGTGTATAACTAGGTGAGGAATTGCTAGGTTATATGGTGACTCTATGTTTAATCTTTTGAGGGCCAATTTTGGTTTATTCATTTTGAAAATGAAGAAAACAATTTCTACATAGGTTCAGGTGGTCAGATTCTCCAGGGCCACAAGGAAAATTAGTGTGAAGGATACTTTTTGAAAAGAGGTAGTGGGCCTGAGGTAGAAGGGGGAGGGCCTCATCAGTTACAGTGAAGCCCAGGTTTAGTGGGGTCATACAGTCTCACGATTAAGGCCCCAATGAGTGTGTAATATGCAGTCAAGCTGTTGGAAGTTGTAGTCTGTCACCTCCACTTCCTAGGTGAGCAAGTCAGTCAACTGCTTTCCTAGGCAGTAGAATGGGGATAATAATATCTATTCTTCAGACTTCAAAGTTTGTAGAGAAGATAAAATGAATACATTGTCAAATCCTATTCAGATTATTACTTTTGTGAAGACAGTATAATTGTATCCAATTATAACAATTTGGTAGTACAAGCCCAAGTCATCCAAGACAGCCAGGAATTAAACTTTTTATTCATGCAACTCAGATTTTATCAGAATAGCATAGAGACTTCCAGACACACAGATGTATTAGAAATAAAACACGTACGTACATGTAAAGCAAACCATCCCTCTCTTCCCCTTACCTCATCTCTTCTTGTCTACCCCTGTCCCCCAGTGCCACTCAGTTGGGTTGTATTTCTCTGGGTGCTGAAGAGTGGGAGATACTCCCCAAACGCTTGTGTGCCCCTCCCATGGGGCTGTGTTGAACACATGACAATTAGTGAAGTTATAGGTTAAACGGTCTATTGGACATCATTCTTGGGTCTTCGTTACTGCTTTTGTCTTAGAAACATGGTGTCCTTTATGCTCACTTATTTCTTCCCACAGCACAAGGCAGCCAGAGCTCTCAGTCTGAGCAGGTCGACTCTCATTATCTTTTAGGGTTCCAGGGGAGCAGGTGGGCACTCTGAGATTCTTCAACAAGTGACAGCATTCTCATTGGTGAACACCTTTGGCAGGACTGTTTCTGTGAGAAGATAAGTTTCAAACACAGAAGACTCTCAGGATGGCCACAGATCTTAAAAAGTCCTCTAGAGCCAACTTCTTCTAACTGATGTGTGAAGGCTTTTTAACAATATTCCTGACAAATGAATCTTTAGTTTCAAAGTCAAGTCCCTTTTGTGACAGGAAATTTATTCTCTCCCATAATGTAAGTGCTCACTAAAAATTCGATGTATAAATGTACAGATGGAATGTGGCAATACGTTTATTACATCCAGCCCCACTGGAGAGTTTATCCTTATACCTAATTGATAGCTGCCTCCATGTACTTTCCAGTTTCACTCTCTTTAAAATAGTCTTTTAAAAATTACGAACTATTTCACAAATAACAGAATTGTACAAAGAATAATATTTGTCCTTGTAGCCAATATCTAAATGTTAGCAAACATTATTTTCAGTCCATTTGCCTCAGATTTAAAAAAATAAAAACAAAGTTAGCATTACAGAAATAGTTGCAACCTTCTTAGTAGCCTGCCCCATCCCAGTTTCTGACTGCTTTCCTACAGTTTCCTATTATTAAGTAATTTTCCCCAAATTACACAAGTAGAAAATAGCAGAGCCAGGACTGAACCTCAGTCTCCTTGGTTCAAAACCTATTGCTCTTTCCACAATTTCATGCTATCCCACCGAGGTAAATATGCATAACAGTGATAATATTTATTGCCTATTTGCACATGAATGTAAAGTGTCAAGAGTTACTTATAACACTGTTCTCCTGTTCCTCTGTTTATCGTATTGACTTATTCTTAAAATATTTTTATTTTCAAGTAAGGTAAAGATATGAATTGTCAGATACCAAATTAGTAGAGTTTAAGTTGTGGAAATTTTATTATATTTGAAAAGAATGTGTTCATTAAGATGATTTATCATTTTTAGTGAGTGGAACTTTATTTTTAGGAAAGAGATTGGTAGGAGATTAATATGTTTTCAAACAATTCCATTATAAGAGCTATCTGGGGGTCTGAATACAATTAAGTAAACTTCGAGCTGGGTTTTTTGAAAGGCTGACTTAGTTGGTTATGGTAATGGGGCATGACATACAACGGCTGGGGTGTAATCCTCCTACTATTGTTGGCGTTGAGTCCTTATTCACGTCTTATTTCCAGTCTGGACTAATATGTTATGAAAGGCGTGGAATGAAGAAATTGAGGAAAGAGCAGGGGAAAGCCATTAATGCTTGGAAAAGTACATTTTGAGAGAAGAAAGAGTTTAGACATACTATGGGAAAAAGGAAGAACAAAGATAGAAGCACTGCCCATTGCTCAAGAACCTGCAGTGTTTTATTTCCTAAGCAATGCAGAGCTTATCAAAACCCACAGGCCTGAGAGCCCTGATTTAGTGGGCTGAGTGTGCGGCCCAGGTGTGCGTGTTTTTGTTTCTTAATGGTACAAAAAACATGCAGCCTGAGCCGTAGCAAGACCCTGTCTCTATAAAAAATAGAAAAATTAGCTGGGTGTGGTGATGCATACTTGTAGTCCCAGCTACACAGGAGGCTGAGACAGGAGGATCTCTTGAGCCCAGGAGTTGGAGGTTGCAGTGAGCTATGATGATGCCATGGCACTCTAGCCTGGCCCCCAACAGAGAAAGACTCTGTCGGAGAAAGAAAAAGCTACAGAAAAAAAAAAAAAGTGAAACAAAATATAAACAATAAACAAAGAAACAAGATCCTCTTCCTGATTAAGCAGTTTCTTGCCCTCCCTGATCTCAGCTGCCTTTCTCCTCACCCTTTGTCCAGAGTGGGCAAACTCCAGGTACCTCACCCTGACCCCTGACAGTCAAGATCTCCCTAACATGGTTCTTTACTTCCTGTCATCTTGGGTCTCCTGGTATAGGACAGCACGTGCCCTGTTTCACGCTGGTTGGCCCTCTGCACCCTTGCTTAGGTTCCACTGCCTGGATCACCTCGTGTTATTCTCCCCCTGCCTATCCAAACCCGAGTCATCCTTAAAGGTGCTAAAGTGCCAGTTCTTGGTGGAGCCATCCCTGATGACCTCTTCTTCCTAACTTCTATAGCTTTTATTATTTGTACAGATCATATTGTCCTTTGTAATTTGTCATGTATTATTCAAAACTCTTGTAAAATGTCCAGACCGTGAATTGTGTTTTAAAGTTAGTCTGTTAGGTCGGCCGGGCGCGGTGGCTCACGCTTGTAATCCTAGCACTCTGGGAGGCCGAGGCGGGCGGATTGCTCAAGGTCAGGAGTTCAAAACCAGCCTGAGCAAGACCCTGTCTCTACTATAAAAAATAGAAAGAAATTAATTGACCAACTAATATATACATATATATAAATTAGCCGGGCATGGTGGCACGTGCCTGTAGTCCCAGCTACTCGGGAGGCTGAGGCAGTAGGATTGCTTAAGCCCAGGAGTTTGAGGTTGCTGTGAGCTAGGCTGACGCCACGGCACTCACTCTAGCCTGGGCAACAAAGTGAGACTCTGTCTCAAAATAAATAAATAAATAAAATAAAGTTAGTTTGTTAGAATAATTTATTTTACTTATAATCTTTTTATAAGGAGGAATGCTATTATGTATGTTTTTCGTCCCAAAGCATCTGCATAGTCTTGCATGCAGGTTGAGTTTTATTCATCCAATGAGGTCACAGAAGTCAGCAGGTTCATTATTCATCCACTGTCTAATTCAACAAATGTTTATTGAGCACCTACTGTGTTTCAGGCACCACTCTGGGAACTGGAGATGCAACAGTGAACGAAGCAGGCTAAAATCCCAGCTTTCTCATGAAGTTTATGTGCTAGTGAGGAGAGACAGACAACAACATAAATAAGTAAATATAATATTTTAGAAGTGATAGTGCTACAGAAAAAACAATGAAGGGGGATTCAGAGTGCTGGAGTGAGGCATGAGAGGTTATAGTCTTAAATAGAGTGTTCACTTCACTGGGAACGTGACACTTGATCAAAGACAAAGAAGGTGAGCACTGAATCATGCAGCTGTCTAGAGAAAAAGCATGTCAGAGAGAAGGGTCAACAAGCTCAGAGGCCCCGAGGAGGGAACCTTTTCTTGCTTATTGTTTTGGAGAAAAAGCAAGGAGAAACAGGGTTGCTGGGGCAGAGTGCACAGGGGCAGAGTAGTAGGAGAAAGCAGTAGAGGTAACTGAAGGGCAAGGAGAGGGTTCTGGATCATGTAGGGCCTCAGGCCTTCTGTGTTGATGAAGCCACATCCCCTTTCACTCTAGGTAGGATGGGAAGCCAGTGGGGTTTCCAGTGGAGGAGTAATCTGACATATTTTAACAGGGTTGCTGTGGCTGCCATGCTAAGAATAGACTATAGGGGAACAAGAGCGGGAACAGGGACATCACTTAAGGGGGCTATTCAAATAACTTAGGGGGTAAATGATAGTATCGTGGACCAGTGTGGTAGAGGTACCCTTGGCAGTGGTGTTATATGGAGACATACACACACTCCCTCTCTCTCTCTGTGTGTGTGTGTGTGTGTGTATATATATATATACATATATATATATATGGAAGATAGAAATAAGATTTGCAGACAGATGAGATGATGTGTAGGAAGGAGAATGAGTCAAAAATGACTTAAATGTTTTGGCCCAAATAACTGCAAATATTGAGTTGTTACAAACTGAAATGAAGTCCACTAAGGAAGGAACATGTTTGCTGGGCAAGATCTGGAGTTTGGTTTTAGACATCACACATATGAGATGTCTATATTCAAGCAGAGATTTCTATTAGGAAGTTAGATATAAATTGAAGTTCAGGGAAAAGATCAGGGTGGGCATATAAACTTAGAAATTTAAATGAACAAAACATCATTTTTCTACCCATTCTAGAATAAGCATTCTAGCAAATATAGTTTCTTAGGAACTATTAAGACAAACCTTCGTGTATTATTAGAAAATGAGTATAATGCAGGTGAGCTAGCCCATATGTAGCAAAGCAAACCAGCAAAACACATAATGTTTATGGAAGACTTCTCTATTCATTAATTCTACAAATATTTAGGGAGTGTTTTCTAAATACTGTGCAATAAGAATACAAGGACATAAAGTATGCCTTGACAGCCCTCAAAACCCTCCAGTGTGGGTGAGGTGATTGTAAACAAGTTTTGACAGCACAGTGGGGTGAATGTTATTGGAGAGGTCTTCTTCGGCTGTTGTAGAAGCTATACGAGTATATAAAGACATACGTGTCATTGACCCTTTCCTTGGGCAGCTTCAGATTAGTTGGAAAGATCAAACATATAAAAAGTCAAATAAAACTAAAAGGTGTAAATAACCCTTCATGATCATAAAAGCAATATCGTGAGGCAGCAAATGAACACTTGTCGAATGCTAATATTTGCCTCAGGAGTTTAAAAGAGGAAGAAGTCTTTCCAGGCGGGGGTAGCAGGGAAGGCTTTGCTTGGGTGGCATTTGAAATAATTCTAAAGGAAGAAACAGGGTGTCTTAAAGAGATGTGATGGAGTTTTCCCTTTATTCTAAGTGATGACATGACTGTGAAGGGCTTTAAGTAAGGGAGATGACAGGGTAAGATTTGAGTTCTGAAAACATCGCTTTGCCTGTACTGTGGAGAAGAGATGGCAGGAGTGGATTCTAGGACACATGATAGGGACTCCTGCAGAAGTATTTGCTATGAGGTTTGTTGTGAGAATGGGACATTCACGTTGAACTATTTAGCAAAGAGTTGGATATATAGAGCTAGATCACAGGACTCCGTTGGAGATTTGGGGGTTGTTTGGGAGGTAAAATTATAGCCCTAAATGTGTATAAAACCTGTAAGGAAAAAAGTGTAAAGAGAAAAAATAGTAGAAGGCTAAGGAGTTACCATCCTTTAAGTACCTATTTTAAGGAACCAGCAAAAAAACCCCAAAAAACAAACAAAAGAAAAGGGGCCAGAGAGATAGGAGAAGAATAAGGTATCACAGGGCATAAGAGGCAGAAATGTGCAGAAAGATCTAGGTTGGATAAGAATACCCTGCGTTCATTTTACTTCCCATAAAACTTTTAATAAATTATCTTACATGATAAAGAAATCCAAGTAGACTGCCAAGGCATGATTAAACAGTAATCTAGAATCTAGCCATCTGGTTCCTCTTGAGCAAAATGGAGGTGAGAAAAACTAGATTATCCCTCTAAGAGCTTAGTCCAGTACAGGACCTTAAAAATCACCCATTTCCAGCCACTTCATTTATAAACGGGGACAGTTAGGCTTCCAGAGAAGTGCATACATAAGGTTACTCAGTTGTTTAATAACAGAACTGGGACCAGAAAAGAATCCTTTGAGTTTTAATTTAGACTTTTCTCTTTTTATCACTGTCTCTAAGCCTAAATGATATTTTGTTCATTCTAAGAGCACAGATTTAGTGAAAATAGTTAAATGAATTTTAAATGTGTAGATTTTTTTTAAAAAATGAGAAATATTTTGGCTTCAGTCATCAACTGCCTATCTATTGTAAGAAATGTTGCCTGTTTATATTCTAAATCTATTTGGGAGAATGCGCAGTTCTAATTACGCCCCCCTGAGGCCACTTTATTCGCTCAAATATTTTCTAGCAGTCAAGACAAAGTGCAAATTCAATCCCTAGTGAAGCTTTTCCTCTCTGATCACCCCCATAAGAATGATCACTCTTTCTTCGGGGTTCCCATAGAGTCAATGTTTTTCAAACTGCAGACTGAAACTTATTAGTGGGTCATGAAATCAATTTAGTGGGTCATATGCATAAAGAGATATAGAAGATAACAGAGTACATCACATATAGTGATGGAGACAATTATTTTGTGGAACATTTACTTCAGTTAAGAGCAGGCGTATGTGTAATGGATTGCAATGTAAAAAGTAGAAAAACACAGGTTTGGAGGATTATGGTGGAAAACACATCTTAACGTATAATGATCAGCTGTAAGCCCACGTAGCTCTTTGAGGGTTAGGACTATCTTCCTCTGTGTATCCCCCATGCCCAGTATACACCTGGTGGGTATTCAGGAAATGCTGACTAGGATTATTATGAAGGTTTGAGAAGGAATTGGAAGGATGAAAAGCAGGTAGGTTGGGGAGGAAGTGAGTGCTTGAATTTAGTATAAACTTTTTACTTTCCTTTACCTAGGATGTTAATATTGATTTTTTTTTTCCAACTTAGTATTATTGCAACTAAGAACCTGTGTTTGGTATCTGTGCTGTGAGGTTATCTCCAGTCACCTTCAATGGCCCATGTGATGTGGTATAAATAATACTTCCTGTTAATGTTGCAGCTGTCACTCAAAGATCTTAAATTGCTTTACAAGCAGGATCTGGTGATGAGTGCCTGGCTCCACTTGGCAGGTGCTGGAGTTAAGAACCAGTGACTGGCTGAAATCCTTGGCTCCGGGATGACGGCCCCCTCCCTCTCGCCCTCACACTCCCTTCTGCCCATCCCTTCTCCCGTGGAGGGAGGAGCCCCCGACCCTGCCTCTTTGTGAGCTTGTGTAACTGGTAAACAGTTTGCAAAGATTCCACTGAGCGAGGAGATTTGCTCTTTCTTTGGGGGTGGCTGTGGTGTGTAAGCAGGAGGCTCATGGCAATAAAGGCACTTAATTGAACTCCCTCAGGAATTGAAAAGTGGGAAGGAAAACTGCAAAGGAACTGATTAGAGGGGAGCTCTGAATCATCAAAGGGAATTAGAGACTCCTGGTTAGTTGCTCTTTAAGATTTGCACCTGGCAGAAAGGGACTATTTGACATGTGGTCCCCATTTTGTGTGCCATTTTGTGTGCCTGTGGTCTGCTCCGTAGCAACCTTATTTCTTGCTTCTGGCCACGCTCTTTTGGGTTTCATTGTCCAAATCAGCCACCAGGAATTTACCCCTCCCCGCCCTTCATTTCCTTCTCTCCTTTGCAGCCCCACTGCCACCTTGAATTACTCACTTTCACCTGGAAGCTTCTGGGGGTCAGTCCCCTCTTTTTTCCAAGAAGCTGTTAACTGCCTACAGTTGGGCCTGGGAGACTCCAGGAGGGTGACAGCCGAGCCCTGGCGTGGAGTCGGGTTACACCACTTGTGTCTGAGTTCACGCAGTATGTTCCTGTCGGGGATTCCGCAAATATCTCCCTGTGGTAAAAAAGGAAAGTGCGCCGCGCTCCAGCACCCAGAGCAGCCAGCCCAGTCCCGAGACCCGGAGAGAGCGCCCGCAACCCCCGGGGCCATGTCACCATAGCCCCGGCGCCCGGTCCCAGCCTCGGCAGCGTCCCGCCGGCTCGCTCCATGCCGGGGTGCCGCCGCACCGAGTTCCTAGGGTGAGGGGGCGATCGGGCATGCTCCTCCCCATGGGTTGCCCACCATGTCTAATGGATATCGCACTCTGTCCCAGCACCTCAATGACCTGAAGAAGGAGAACTTCAGCCTCAAGCTGCGCATCTACTTCCTGGAGGAGCGCATGCAGCAGAAGTATGAGGCCAGCCGGGAGGACATCTACAAGCGGGTGAGTGCGGGGCCGGGGCCGGACCCTCTGGGGCAGGGGCAGGGGCCGGGCTTGTTGGCCCACCTGTCGCTATTCCAGGCTTTTTCCTACCTGGTGCTTCTTTACAAGTTGGCGAGAGAGGCGCGCTTCCGTCCGGGTCTGGGCACCTTAAGGCCATGTGACTTCGGACTAGCCCGTTTCACCTCTCTTTTGCCCGTTTTTTCTACCTCTCTGTAAAGGGCGGGGGCTGGATGAAATCCGAGGCTCTCGAACCCGTGCGGAACAGTGCGGGAACAGTCACCTTGGGGGCTGGTTTCGCATGCAGATTCCGGCCTCTGGTTCTGATTTGGTAACAGGATAGGGGAGCTTGGAAATTTGCATTTTTAAACGAGAGCCCTGGAGGTGACTGTGAGGCAGATAGTTTCCGGGCCACACGATCTGCTAAAGAAGCTGGAGAAGGGCGGCTTATAGCTGACTCAGTGGGGCAGAGATGATGCTACGGAGGCACGTGCTGAGGCTGAAGGCTTTTCAGTTCCCTGAGAAATTCATGTTTGTTTGTAAAGATGACTATGTGGATAAGCTTTTAAGACAGAATCTTAGGCACTTTTAGTCTTCGGAAAAATTCACCTTAAGACAAAGAAGAGGGTACCTATGGAATAGCTAGCAGCTGGTCCCAGCCGGGGTGGGAGGGGGAACAGCCACTTTCCTAAAAGGGAGGGCTATCTTGATTGATGGGTCAGTGATTGGGGTGGGGAAGGAAGACCACTGGATTGGTGGAGCCTAGGCTGAGATGAGACTGCATCTTGGTAAGAAGTGCTACCTATCACTTTTTTTTTTTAGGCTATGGGTTACAAGGATTAAGCTTCCTCACTGGCCACTACAATATTGATCTCCTCAGCCCTCTTAGTGTCTGGGCAAGCAGGACCTAAGTGGCCCAAGTGAGCTGGAGCTGGTTGCCTCTGACCTTATCAGAGATGCTAAATCGCCAACTGTTTACACCACAGGTCTACACAAATATTATCATTTTCTATGTGTTCCCTGTCCTGTCAAGAGGAAGGTTGGGAAGCATTAGGGGCTGCTGGATAGTGTATTGGATCAGAGGAATAGCTGGTGTCTGTGAGACCCAAATGATTATTTGGTAAATTTGATTAATGTGAACAGCAAAATCTGGGGCATTTAACCCTATTTCCTGTCTCTCCTGAGTTTCCACGTTTTAATCTGAATCTTCTAGAAATCGATCCAGGCTCACCTTTCATCTTTTATGTGGCTGTATAATGAGTGTGTCTCATTGGAGCTGGCCCAGGTCAAGAAGGATGTTGCCTAGTGGGAGATGGAGAGGGGGACGGGGAGAGGCAGCGTGTGCCTCAGGGTAGACCAGTGAATGGATTGGCACACTGTGCAGAGGAGGGAAACTTTTCCTATTTAACTGTCTTCAAAGCACCGCTGAAGGAAGGGGCAATTTCTTAGATAATTTGAGAGAAAGGATTTTTTTTTTATCTTCAATTAAATGACTGCCAGAATCAATTGGTCTCATTCTCTGCTCTATAATGGCTAAAGATACAGTTTTCAGAAAACACTTTGGGTGGGGTGTGAGAGGACAGCATTTCTCTCCTGGAGAAGTGTGATTAATGAGACTATAGGAGGTACACAGGGTGTGGAAGGAGTGGGTCACAGCATATTGTCACATGTGGAGGTGACAACCCTTTTGCTAGACTCTACTATTGCCGTGGATTTCATACAGGAAGCGAATGTGGCCATCTTTCTACCTAGTCTTAGGTGTGAGCAGCATAGTCAGGCAGCTACTGCATCTTATGATTTGAGGGATCTCAAACTACTGTGTCCCCCCCTCCTTTAGTCTCTCACCAAATCTTTGTTCAATCTGCCTATTGCATTATTCTTCTCATTTGGTTATGATTATTTGAAAACCCTAAAGGCTTAGGTTAAAATACTCTTATTATCTGGGAAGCAGAACACATAAAGCCCTTATCAATCATTTGCATCATAGTTGCAGTAAGTGTCACACTACTTTGTGATGATGGGTTGATAGAAAGTAGGACAGTTGCATTTTGATGGAAGGACAAAAGATTGGGAAACCACTGCATTAGGAGCCCTGGTCAACCAGGGGACCTAGGCAAGTTACTTAACCTCTCTGAGCCTGTTCCAGCCTCTGTAGAACTGGCATTAAGAATAATGCCACAGGCACTGAGAATTATTTGCTGTATGAATAAGTAGCAGCCATGAAGATGAAATAAGACATATCAAAGTACTTTGTAAACTTAATAGCATCATACTTATATGAGAGGGTATTAATTATATTCCTACTCGTGGTAATAGTTATTATAATATTTTAAAATGAAGAAGAGGTTTGACTCTTTTTAATTTCACCCTCATATATCCCCACAAATGTGTCTTAAATTGATCCTTGTTATTCACATTCCACACTGTTAGGAAGGTTAATTAGCAGCAACGTTGGTAAAGAGACATGCCTAGCATCACATGGTTTATCAGGTGGTTCAGAGAAGAGAATTTAGAGTCTTGTTCTGTTACCAAATTTAGTGATAAGAGTTTGATTTTTCTGTTACTAAGAAACAGAATTTTCTTTGTTCTCATTTTTCAGATTTTTCTTTAGTATTGGAAGGACTTATTAAAACTTTATATAGTAAAAACATTAAATTACACCCAATTGAATTAGAATCTACAATAATTTTAGTGTCGTATGCATGTTTTTTTAAAAGAAAACTAATGCTTGTGAAACATACATAATATAAATCTATTGTGAATAGTAATTATTTCATTGTTTCACATTTTGTTGAGATGTTTGTACTTAAGAGTAAAAAATTACTGTCTTAGTGAGAGACAGACATTTCACCATGATGACTTTAGGAAAGGGAAGGATAGGAAATCTGGGGAGAAGAGGACTGGAGAGAGGGTGGTATCTTTCTCTTTCCAAGTGGCAAGTCCTTTTAGGTACTTGATTGAGGGAGAGACTAAAATAGATATAATCCTTTCTTGTAAAGGAAGCTACAAGAATTTTTAATTGTAAGAGAAGTTGTAAGAGCCACCAAGTTATATAAAAACCAAAAAGTTATCAACTTTAAATAAAAAAGGAGTTAAGAGTTTCTCTCTTTTAAGCTGTTTATAGAATTGAGAAATAATCTTAAGAATGATACTGGCCATGAATTAATAAAACAGTGTTAAATTATATGTAAAAATTGGTTCATTGAGACTGGTTACTTTTCCATTGAGTGTTTAATGTAAACTATCCTTTAAGCTTTAATTTTTTTTTTTTTTGAGACAGAGTCTCGCTTTGTTGCCCAGGCTAGAGTGAGTGCCATGGCATTAGCCTAGCTCACAGCAACCTCAAACTCCTGGGCTCAAGCCATCCTCCTGCCTCAGCCTCCTGAGTAACTGGGACTATAGGCATGTGCCACCATGCCCGGCTCATTTTTTCTGTATATATATTAGTTGGCCAATTAATTTCTTTCTATTTATAGTAGAGATGGGGTCTCGCTCTTGCTCAGGCTGGTTTCAAACTCCTGACCTCAAGCTATCCAGCCGCCTTGGCCTCCCAGAGTGCTAGGATTACAGGCGTGAGCCACTGCGCCCGGCCTAAGCTTTAATTTAAAATTTTTTTTTTTTAAAGGAAGAGGCTGTTTACCCTCGGCACAGATAAACTGGGATGTGTACCTCCATGATTAGATACCGCTACCCTTTCTTGTTAGCAAATATTAATTGCAAGTTCAGCTTTTTTAGAAGACAATTTTGAGCATATAAAGCAAGCAAAGGAGACATTACTGCAGTGCATATAGCTCATGACTCTGGAGTAAGTAAAGTGAAAAATGCTGCCGGTGGTCCACAGCTGAGTATGGCCCACTCCTAGGGAGACTGGCTTGTTAGAATTTCTGGACTGCAGCTGCTGTGGTAAGTAATTTCTGGGTGGCAACTTGGCTGACTTCCTTGTTGTTGATTGCCTAATCCTGCATCTTTTCGTATTAGCCGAGTGTGCCGCCACTGGAAATGTATCTGACCCTGGAATTCATGAAATCCCCTGCTGTGTGGTAAACACCCAGTCTCCAAACAGCACTCAAAGCCATCATCCACTGTGTTTTGCCCCATGAAAAGTACTTACTTGTTCAGCTTGTGTGAATTTATTATTACCCAAGGTTGCTTTAAAAACGATTTAAGGTTGTATCCTGAGAATGGAACTTAAAATCTGACAGGGACAGATCCAAGAGCAAAAGGGTCAGGAGAAACATCCTGGACCAGATAGAGTTGATGATAGGATATGATAGAATTGATATGATAGAATTGATGTTGGAAGGTTAAAGTTGGTTTGGTCTTTAGATAGGAGTTGAGAGAGTTGTATTCCAATGTTTTAAGACCCTTAAACTGCCTGACTTCTTTGAGATTGAAACTTATTTGGTTTTCTCATCTTTGAGACTGGATGATACTTTTCCTGAGCAATCTTTAAGGTTTATACATAGCATGTTTCTATAGCTATGGTAAACAGCCTACTGATTTTACTTGCCTACCAGATTGTTGTTGTTTCTATTATTTTGCTATTCCTAGGCATAGTGAAGAGCTATGAACCAGCAAAACCTGGGATGAAATCTTGGTTCTACCATTTACTACGTGTGCTGACTTGGGCAAATATTTTAATTCTTATTAGTAGAAGTGGGTGTGGTAATAATACCTACTTTATGGAGTCTGGGGGAAGATTAAATGAGTCAATTAGTTGAACTCAGCACAATGCCCATTACATAATAAGCCCTCAATAAATATTTGCCATTATTATGACAAACTGAAAGATGACAAAATTATTCACATAAGTCCAATTAGTGGACACATTCTCTTTGGACTATTTTTTTTTTTTTATTCCAAATCAATTTCTTTGTTTTTCTGTTGAGACAGGGTCTCTCACTTTCACCAGGGACCAGAGTGCAGTGGTGCATTCCTAGCTCACAGCAACCTCAAACTCCTGGGCTCAAGTGATCCTCCTGCCTCAGCCTCCCGAGTAGCTGGGACTATAGGCACACACTGCCATACCTGGAAAATTTTTCTATTTTTTATAGAGACAGGGTCTCACTCTTGCTCAGGCTGGTCTCAAACTCCTGGCTTCAAGCAATCCTTCCACCTTGGCCTCCCAAAGTGTTAGGATTACAGGCTTGAGCCACTGTGCCCAACCTCTTTTTCCTCAATAGTGGATTTTGGATCATTTGTCCTATTTGTCTCAATTCTCCATTTTAGTTTGCCTGTAAATATAGTTTGTCCCTATTGCATCAAATTTGCCCTGACATCCTCAGATACAAAGATTTCTTCAACCATAATAACTAAGAAAGGCTGGGTTTGTTAAATTTCTTTTTGACTCATTGAAGATGAGTCTATTTACATTA